ACCCTGAGACCCTCAAATCTCTAAACCCCAACGAGTCCTGAGCCTTACGAAGCCCCTAGCCCTGAGAACGCAACGAAATCCCTAGGATACTCGGGTTCCTTTAGAAGGAACCCTACACCTTTCTAAGACTAGCCCTGACCCAGAACACGTCAACCCTCAAACCAAACATGCTGCATGTGCTTTGTCTTGCATTTATACTGTTTGCAGAGCTGCCTTGTGCGCAGCGCATGTATCTCCAATTGCTGTGTGACATTCGGGTCTGACCTGCTTGTTTTTGACAGGCTGGGTGCTATCTTAAACCCCAATCCCTAAACCCTTAAACCCTAAACCCGTAAGCCCTCAAAACCCTAATGCCGTAGCTTCCGGAGGCCCGCTCCGGCTCCAGATCTCGGGCTTTCCGGGGGCACGGAGCGGACGGAGCTCGAGAAGCGAGCGCAGGCATTTTGGGCCGCTTCAGTAAAACAGACATCTGTGTGTATGCATATATATATATATATATATATATGTAAATACATGTACATATGTACATGCACGAGTACAGCAGACATATGTAAAGGTGTATATATAGAGAGAGAGAGAGAGAAAAAAAAAAACAAATGCTAGCAATGAGAACATGAACAAGAAGGATAATGATAAACTAAACACTAACAGAAATCGCAGCATGCCGAACACGAAATACGACGGCATCATCAACAACAACATGATAAGAGGAGCAGTACCATTCAATGGCAAATAGCGATAATGTAAACCGGCCCCGTTAATGCTCATTGTCATGATAGTGCTAACAGAAGAATAAACAACAATGGGCATTGGTCTCAATGATGAAACCCCTTGCACCACCTACTGGGCGCTTCGCAAAGACTTTTGACGGCAGGCACATGGTGATGCGCAGCAACACACATGCTTATGTCAGTTACAGTCGGTGATGTGGCATTCCCGTCGTTCGCCCCCATACCGTCGTTCGCCCCATACAGCTCCTGGTCGTCGAGGTATTTGTCGGTGAATCCGCTCCTACTCGGCTGTTTGATTGGGCAACTCTGTTGCGACAGCTGTTGTTGTCTATAGGCCCTTCACTCGAAGCACGAGCCCCTTTTGACCCATGATGGAGGCGAAGGACGGGCGTCTTAGCAGCTGCAAAAGGTCGTTGGTGGAAGACCCAGACGAGGCACAGCCACTGCGAAGGGTTCCAAGACTCTACCAATTCAAAGAGGGATACTGGGACAGGGTTTCCAGAAGTTGTTCCTTAGGTTTTCTGATTCTCAGACCCTTCGCCCTGTCATCGTCCTTTTGGGCCCTAAACGCACGCCCGATTACAAAGTCCTAAAACTCCAAGCCCAAGCGGTCATCAACAAACCCGACAACCCTCCCTGAATCCTATCCACAAAACCTTTTTACCTAAGCCCCCGGGCTTCAACCCTGACCTCTGGGCCCCCTAAACCGAAAACCCCAAACCCGAACCTCACCCTATACATATGTATATATATATATATATATATGTATATATGTGTACTCATTGTCAATACCACAATTAAGGACCATAAGCACTCTGTTTAAGGACACTTGGGGGAGCTCCTGCTACACCCTAGAGCTTCAACTTGAGGGATCTTGAAAGGTTTTGGGTTCAGGTTTCAATCCAAAAGCGCACTATTTTTCACAAGCGGGCTCTAAATTGTGCAGTACTAGGCATCCCGCAGAAGGGACCTTAAACCACGAGGCAATCTTGGAGTCTCTAGGTGCATGATGCAGCCTACCCTGACCCGAGGTACCCATGTTCCGCTTAATTAGCGAACATACCTTACTAAACAATGACATGGATGCCCCTATAGCTTACGGTCCTTTCGTCAGTAGAACCTCATAAAACCTTTAAAGGGACCCTAACCCCATGATGTAAGGTATATTCCGTACTTGATTACGGGGCAAGAAACCTGTCAGTTGAGGGCTGATGAATGTTTAGGTTCCCAGTAGCAATACCGGTAATACCCTGTTGGGCCCCCTACTTTGAAAAAGCACATGGGGAAAGGGGTATCCTTATTCGAAGGGAGATATTGGATTCAGAGGTTGCGGCCTCGTGTAGGGCTCATGGATGTTGGGATTGCAGTTTAGGCTGAGGGCTTTCGGATTGTAGAGGCAGGGTTTGGGGTGCACGATATGGACTTAGCTTTTTTGCAATTCAAGGGTCAAGGATCTTAGACGGCGAGGAGTTCCGCAGTCGTTGTTTTGACCTGTTTGTCGCAATTGAAGTCTGTCATTGTTGATCTCGGCTTCGGGCTGAGGCTGTTCAGTTTCTGAATTTGCGAAACCCTAGGTCTAGGGTGGTGCATCAGGGCTTGGAGAGTTGATGGCTCGAGTGTAGGAGCTTTTGTGTCTTGCTGTAGAGCTTGAGAGTGCGAAGCTGACCTCCATTGTATCCCGACCTCTTTCGGCTACCTCCCGAATGCTCCTGCCGGAGTGAACAAGGCGCACACCTGAAATCGGAGTTCAGGGCCTGGAATTTGCACTGCAATCCGTCTACTGCACCTTATGCAGCTGCAGTACTTTCCGTGAGCAACACTACGCCCCAAACAAGTCGTAGCCCCAATATTCACAACGGCGGTATTGACTAGTGCTTCCCCAACAAGGAGTCGCTGATGTCACTGCTCTTCAAGCGACGCCTGGCAGCTATTCTGTACCGTGGTTCCTCTTCGGGCAGGTTTCTACTATACTACGATAAGGGAGTTTCCGAGAATTAGGGGTACCTTAATTTGGGGATCCCTATAATAAGGATCCTACTATTCAGGGTACTGTATTAGGGTCCCCTGTTTTCGGGAATTCCCATAATAATGCTACTATACTAGCCTGCCCCAGCCGAGGTTGATCCAGGTCCTTGGATCCCTGCAGTTGTGAGGCGTGTTGCCAGTTTTGCCAGCTCGGTTTCAGCTGTAGGACTGAGAATGTCATAATTTGCTTTCCCGGCTTAGATATCCAGCAAGGACCCTACACCTAGGGCTTAGCGTTTCAGGACCTTTACGTTTAGCCCTCTTAGTGCAGGATTTCGGCTTCAGTGTTTCAACTTATTCCGCCTTCATACTTGACTGCCATAGGAGGGTGGAGCAGCCATTTTCTGACGCTCCTGATTTAATACTGCACAAAACTTTCTTCAGCTTCGGGCATTGTTTTTTGGTTTGCTGGGGTTTCAAGCCCAGTTAAGCTTAGGAGACAAAGCCTAACCACCAATTCTTCGGCAGGAATGGAGTCGTCTATGCTGGCTAAAAGATCTAAAAGGGTTTATACCCCTAATCCTGAAACTTAAAAAACAGCCCTCAAAAAAACAAAAAGCACCAAAAGTTTGTAATTTTCTACTTGCCTGAGGTCGACGCCTTGACTGCGATGTGAGCAGTGTCATCACTGTGTGACGGGCTTCGCCCGCATCTGGCCAAGCAGCTGATTTTAGAAACCCAGAATGCTGGACCCTCAGCCCCATAGCTATATAGCCTTATACCATATATCCTTACCTTTAGCCCGAAACTTTAAGTCCCTAATGAACCCGCTAAACCCTAGACGTGCCCAGCTCCACTGGCGATGCCGGGGCATGGACATCAGGCCGCTATAGGTATTTTCCCTACGACTGCGCGATAGCGCTGCGCACAGATGTCCCGTAAGTCATGTCGGTTTGGGGTTTTAGGGTTAAATAAACAGGGCTTTAATCTTGCAGAGCTGCTGCGATGGTTGTTGAAGCCATGAGTACCAGCACGGTCTCATCAAACAAGGTCTTGGGTGTCTAGGCCAAACCTACACACCAAACCCATCTTAAACAGTTAGCCATCCTGAACCTAAGTTCTGAATACGGGCTTCAGCAAAGCCTGCTAGAGGATTGCCCACTCTTGGTTTTGAAGCGGGAGGCTGTGCGCAGCATCATGTTGAACAGGTGTACAGGCAAGTGCAGCAAAGAATCGCGACCAAGACGGAAAGGTTTGCGCGGGTTGAGGCACGAACCCTACACCCTAACCCTAAACCCTCATTGACCCTAACCCCTAAACCATTAAATTACTATGCTCTACATGCATCCCTGCAACGAGCGGAGCCTTGGGACGAGCAGAGTGCAAGGCTCCCAGGCAGGAGAACTCCCGCGACAAAGCATCCAGAGAGCCCAATAGCTAACCGTTGATATTAGGGATGATGATAATGCCTTTTAAATAAGGAGCTAAAGAGCCAAGGGAGCCCCAAAACCACTGGTTAGATAGCCCTCAAGGAATAGACAGTGAAGCTAAGTTCAAGGATCTTGGGCTTTGTGGATAGGGCTTCTTTCGCGGATGCTACATTCTGCCTCCCCAGGATTGCAGGTACCTAAATCAAACACCTATTACTGGGTTGCGTAAGATATGGTTAGCAACCTGCTAATTGGCTAGATAGAGCTCTAGGGGTTTCAATTCTGTTGCTATGATAACAGTATTTTGTATCGTATAGGTGTGTGAGCATGTCCTTGAATGAAAAACTACGAAGCATGACATGTTGGTTGCTAACCCCATTTGTACTGGCACCGTTGCTAACAATACTGACGACAAGCCAAATAAACCACGGCTTGTTGTTGTTCAAGGTCTTGTCATGCATGTTGGCCATACTTCTACGGCTGTGAGTCAGTATGGGCATGTTGGTTGGGTTGAAGGCCTGTCTTCGTCGTCTTAGTCTTAGATGGGTCTTTCGCACGCATGTTTGCTGAGGTTTAGACCGTGTCACTGGCAAACATTGTAATTGTGCTCATTCGCACGACTGAGCCTGAACTGTGGCAGTTGTGCATCATGCGACATGCCAATGTAGCAGCTGCTTTCACACCGAGATCGGAAGGCAAGAGTATTATATTTGTTGCGGTGGCATATTTCAATATCGAAGCCGGGACCAGCTTGACGAAAGCCCTACACCGAAAACCCGCCAAAGCTTACAGCCCCAAGCAGCAGAAAACATCCCCAATATCGTGCATCCTTGGACATCCCTCCCCCTTGAACCCTAAATCCCGAATTCCGCAGGAATGCTCGACTACATTGCTGATGCACGGCTTCGCCTGGCGCAGCCTGGAGCGATTGTAGTTCCAGCTGGTGGAGCTCAATTCGCTGCACCTGGGGCGTTGATCTCATAGTTTTAGGTTTTGGATTTTTGGGGTTCATCATTGTCGATACTCCCTTCGTAAACAGACTATGGGCAGTTATTAGAAAGCGGCGAACAGAAAACCGCAGAAAATTCCGAGCTTTTCGTCCCGAAAGCCCCGCACAGTTTGCCCTTAACCCCTGTATCATGAGGACCCTTAGGGGGTGGTGGGGAGGGCCTGAAGTAAGGATTTCTTAAGGCCTATTCAAGGAAGTATAGGTCCCCTACCCCCTCCCCCCTATCCCCTAAGGGTCCCTACTGCTGATGATATAAATCCTGCATGACCTTAAGGACCCTAAACTATGGGAATTCTGGTATATTCCTTTTTTATGGGCAATGCAGGATTTCTATCATCAACCGTATGACTATATACAGCGGCTGACCCCGGAACCCCTTCACATGCACAGTCTTCAAGCGCCATATACTCCAGAGTCGAAACCGGAAATCCGCTTCAGGCTTTGGTGGCTTCAGATTCCTTGGCAATGGATGCCCGGCTGCGCTTTCTCGCTTTCTCTAGCTTATTCAAGTGAACCCTTCACGTTTCCTAGACCGTGAGTCTGCCTAACCCTAAATCCCACCGAACCCTGAGCTCAAGAATCAGAAACCCAGGAGTACACATGGGAGTTTTCGAGAATAGGGGACCCTATAATCTAGTACCCTAGATAGTAGGAGCCTTACTATAAGGACCCCAAAACAAGGTACCCCTAATTGTCGGAAACCCCCACAGCTGGAGGTCTGGCAGGTTCTCGTTGGTTCGATGAGGGCGTCCGATGTATCAGGCCATGTTACAGTACCAGCCAGAAACAGGCAACATCATTATCCTGGTGCCCTTAAAGTGCAGTATGAGGAATGCCAAGAAGAAGCATCCTTAATCTATGTTCCAGCTTTCTTGGGTTCACTTCATGTAAGATAACTAAGTACGTTGAAGAGGCCTCGTTAGACCAAGGAAGGCTTCCCAGGTGCTTCGTCATTGGGTTGGGCATTTTCGAAACAGGGCGATCATTTCGCCATGACTTACGGCGAATGCGGACCTACAGTATCCTTGAGGAACAGACATGACGTCTTCTGTCAGCCGGACCCCATTCTCGTAGATCATGCCTGCTGATTCTCTTGCGATCTTCAGACCGCAACAAGCCTAATTACTCTACTCTACGTCGCCCTAAACCCTAAACCACTACCCTAAACCCTAAACCCTAAACCACTACCCTAAAGCCTCAACAACAAACCACTACCCTAAACCCTAAACCGCTACCCGAAACCCCAAACCACTACCCGAAGCCTTAAACGCTCTAGTTAAACCACTACCCTAAAGCCTAGACCCTAAACCGACCGAGGTGTCCAGTGTGCAGCCGGAGTGCAGTCAAGGCTTCGACTTGTCGGCCATTGGCTCTCTGCAGGTCGGGGCACAACAGCTCGGGGTCGGTTCCTGGGTGTATCGCCGTGAAAAAGCCATCACATGCATGTATGTACATATATGTATGTGTCTTTACATATATATATATATATATATATATACATATATATATATATATATACACATCTGTATCTATATATATATATATGCATATATATATATATATATATGAATATATACAACATACATAAACGCATGCATACATAGGTACACACACATACATGCCCACTTAATTATATATGTATATACATATTGGGTTAGCATAGTTGGCTGTTCTGTTGGTTCTGTTGTTCTCATGGCCCTTTTGAGTGTACATACATATACATGCGCGGCTGCACATTTACTTTTTGAATGTTTGAAGTAAGTATATGTGCACACACATATACTTACATATGTGTACACACACATGTACATGGAACTTGGTACATATATATATGTATATATATGTACATATAAGTATACACATACCCATACATACATAGTATATGTGTATGTGCATGGAATGCTACAATGTTTCCGTCATGTGCCTAGAGTGCTCCCGAAAACGCCCAAAACCCTTCCAGGACACCGGCAAGATCTTCTTTACGAAGCAGTGGCACGGCGGCAATCATCTTTTCGCTCCGATGCTCCGGAGCTGGTTTGTTTTTTGCGACTGGGTTCAGGGCTCAGAGGCCATTTAATCATGGAGGCCAGTGATTCCCCTACAGTCTGTCCATGACAAGTATGCTACTCGTACTGTATGTTTGTATTTCGTGTCATGACATCCGACTGTTGAATCTCCTGTATGAGTGTCCCTTTGCCACACTGCTTCCTGCTGTGGTACTGCTTGAAAATGCATTCGATTCGTGCTTGTACGAACATATGTTCCCATACTATGCATGCACATGCCGGGCATTTACAGGACTTCCCTCGTTCGCCATTCCTGCCATCCGTTGCCCGAACCATTCATGCCTGGCCCAGCGATAGCGCCATCTTCGAGGTGGGGCTTCCGCCTGAACACTCTTCCAGACCTGGTTCAGATGTCGGACCGCGTCTGCATCTTTGAAGTGGACTTCCAGAATGGAGACAGGCTGCTCAGTAACGCATGCTCCGTGTGGTAGGAGCTCGGTAGTAGTGCTCATTGAGGGGTTTACAGACCTCCCTGCGCCGCGGCTTGCCCGGAACCGATTGTCTAGCAGAGGCTTGTCTATATCTCTTGTTCTGAACCCTCCGAACTTAACCCTGAATCATAAAAACCCGAAGCCCTATGTGATTCTGTCTTTGCTGCTTCGCATGTTTTGACCAAAATCTGACGAAACATGTTCTCGCTCAAGGGGTCTGCGGTTAGATGAACACTGATCTGGCGCGAATGCAGGGAAAAAGCATTCAGTGGCTGCGCTTCAATCTTGGACACCCTTAGTCAACTACAGTGGTAGCGGAGCCTCCGGTTACGTCCGGGGGCCTAGGTGTGTGGTTTTGTTTGGTTTGGGTGTGCAAGCTTGTTGTGCAGTCAGTGATCGGCGGTAGTGGACATGGCGTCACACTCCGGGGAAGTGCCTGTGCCAGAAGATGAGTTCGATGAGATGCCTGCTGGCGCACCGCCAGGGTTCAGCCCGCCACGACGTGATCGAGCCGATGAGGAAGATGAAGTGGCGAGCTTCCGCAGATGGTTGCGAGAGCAACCTTCCCGACGTGGAGCACGGCGGACAGTCCGCCGCGATGAGGACGACGACGGAGAAGAGGACCAAGGACGGTCCAATGTGGGGCCACCGCCCTCGTGGGATGGCAAAGAGACTCCGTTCGAGGACTACCTGATCCGGGCGAAGATATGGATCAGCACGACGCGAGCGAGAGCCAAGACCCGCGGACCCCTGCTACTCAAGGCTCTCGCCGAGACTCCCTTTCAGGACTTCAAGTTCTTGGCGAAGGACCAGAGTTGGCTGGACAACCCTCGGAATGCCGAGGACCTGCTGGCTCGGATGGACACGCCGGAGTACTATGGCGAGGACCAGGAGGAGCACCTCTTGTCGGCGCTCTCGAGGGTCACCTACCACATGAAGCGTCAGAAGCAAGAGTCGGCGCGGCAGTTTCTGGCAAGGTGGGAGATGGCCGAGCGCAAGGTCAAGGAGCACAAGATTGACCTGCCCAGCATCTACCGCGGCTTCTTGTTGATCAATGCCCTCGGCCTCAGTGAGCAGGAGATCAAGGCCTTGCTGAACTACACGCACGGTTCGATCGAGCCCTCTGAGATCCGAACCTGGCTTCGCAAGAATGAGGCGAAGCTGCAAGCGAGTCAGCTGGGAGTTGACTCAGGATCCACTCGTGGTAAGTCCTCTACTTCCGGAGCTTCCAGCAGCGCCTACATGATGGAGACAGCGTCTACGGGACCTACAACGGAGGCGGACGAGCTGGACGAGATGGAAGCGATGCTCGCGGACTTGGTCGACGAGCCCACCGCGACGAACGAGGACGACTTGGGCGTGATCGAAGAGGACGAGGCCGCTGAGATCTTAGCGGTAATGATCAAGGAGAAGCGGGAGCAGCGAAAGACCTACAGCCAGTCGGCGCAGATCAAGAAGGACCGGGAGCTCTCGAGGGGCTATGGCCAGCGAGGTCAGCGAGCCCAGGGCCCGGTCAAGCCAGGTCTGTACCGCTTGAGCATCCAGGAGCTGAAACATCGCACCAGGTGCCGTGCCTGTGGCCGCATCGGCCATTGGAAACGCGAGTGCCCCGACCCAACCGGGGGCAACGAGAAGGCGGCACACTTCCTGGAGGTCGAGCTGGAGGAGGGCGAAGATGCTTTCTTTTGTCATTTTCTTGAGAGGGAGAGTGCAGGCGACCAAAGCAGCCTGCCAGTTTTTGAGCATGAGCCAAATGGCCGCAGTTTGGGGCATGGACCCACAGAGTCGGAGCCCAATCGAGCGTACACAGTCCGAGAGCATGAGGTTATGTACGGTGATTGTGTTGGTAGTGATGATGCCTGTGCCACAATTGACACCGGGTGTCAACGGACGGCCGTTGGCCGAGAAACTCTTGAACGGATGATGCGGTGCTGGCCCAAGGGAATGCGATGGTTCCAACAGTCCGAAACCAATCGTTTTCGTTCGGTTCATGGAATCTCGGAAACCAAGGTCAATGCCGTCGTTCCGTGCAGTCTCGGTCGCAAGGGTTGCTATCTGAAACCAGCCGTCTTTGAGGGTGAACACAGTCGCAAGGCCCCGTTTCTGATCTCTTTGAAGTTTCTTAGGCATTGCAAAGCTGTGATCCACTTAGAAACCGAAGAACCCTACCTGGAACTTACGAAAACACAAGTGAAGGTCCCCCTTGTTATAGGTCCGTCTGGTGCACTGAGAGTTCCGCTGAATAAGTTCACGAGTGAAATGCGACAGCACCTGCGCCAGGCCGAGAGTAGTTTGCAGGACCAACATGCGAGTGAGTTTGAGATCCTCACGCTCCGTGGCGAAGCGCTTCGAGCTCAAGCAGAGATCGATTTGAGACCGGTGACCCCCGCATCTTCTCCTGCCCAACATGTTCGGCACCCCCTCCGGCAAGCGAGCCCGAGCCGAGCCGCCAGAGAACCAACAGGCCCTCTTCTGCTGGCACGTGCTGGTGGTGAAGCTGGTGATGATCATTCGGCCAGCCCTTCAACTGGTGCAGCGCCTGTGTCGACCTCGACCGCTCGACGCACTGCAATTGGTTCGGGGTCATTGGGACGAGCTGCCAATGAGTTGCCTGACCGAGCTGCAGGAGGAGGTCACCAAAGTCATCAAGAACCGCCGCCGGGAGACAGCGGTGATTCGGGAGGATGCCCCCTACGAGCCATCTCCCAGGTACAGTCCGGTGGAGCGGCGTCATCGAGTGCAACCGGTGCGGGATTCCCCGACGTCGGTGAGTTCGGAAAGTCCGGCCCGGAACAACCGCCAGAGCCGGGCTCGAAGCATCAGCTCGGAGTCGTCGAGCGTCAGCGGCTTCGAGATGATCCCACCGAGCAAGGAGAGCGGCATCAAGGAGATGTTGGTGGACAAGAACCTCCAGGAGAGGATCCTCGACCGCGGGATCCAGAAGATCTTCACGGGTTTGCCATCGTGCCACTGCAATCGCAGTGCCAACGTGGAGGTGGTGCTGAAGAGCAACGAGAACTACCTGAAGACCTTCTTCCGGTGCTACCTGCCTCCCGGACCGAAGCAATGCAAATTCTTCGCGTGGACTGTGGAGCAGCCTCTTCGGGACCCGAACTACGCCGAAGCCCGCAACCGTCTGGAGAAAGCAGCCGGACGGAAGATGATGCCTCGCGAGTTGCTCTGCGAGATGGTGCAGGACATTTGCGATCACATGCGATCACTCGAACGGCTTCGTGGCCACGGGAAGCAACCAGCACTACAAGCAAGAGCGCTGCCGTATCTGCCAGAAGCTCATGAATCGGTCCCGCCGGGGCCCTCGAACGAGCAGCCCGGCCGGATCAACAACGACGGAGGCCGAGTCGATCTACCCAGAGGAGACGAGGCCACCACGCCGTCGCTGAGGCGGGATCCGCTGAGCCTCGAAGAGGCCTTTGACTCCGGGAACGAAGTCCCCTTGAGCCGCAAACGGCGGCGCTGTCTGAAACAGGCACTCCGGAAAACCGAAGGCCGCTGGAAGCAAGTCTTCAGTCTTCTTTGTGGAACACCGATATTAGGGTGCCTCGGGAATGGTTCCAAGACGGAGCAACAAAGCCAGTTTGATTTTCGAGACGAGAGAAAATTGCAGCGCACCAGCGGGCTGCCCTTGCATGATTGTCAGTGGTTGCTAGGGAAGGTAGGCGATCTGCATGAGTCTAGGACCACTAGCATCGCGTGGTTACATGAAGACCAGTGGCGCAAGGACATGGTAGGTTGTCAGCGTGAGATCAGTCAGTGTAGACCGCATGTGCTTGTCTTGTGGCTGTCGCATCCTAAAGGTCTAGAGTGTCAAGAGCTGCAGCGGACATGTCAGAAGGTTGGAACTGTGTTTCTCGCTTGCCGGCCTCAAGAAGAGAAACCTGACACGGAAGCAAAGGATCGAGCTGTCCGAGTCACATGTGAGACCGCCGACGCTGAATTTCAGCAGCGGCTCCAGCACGCGTGCCCAGACGGCAGCATGGCCGCCATGGCCGTGAACGGCGTCCTGAAGGCGATCGTCCTCCAGATCTTCGGGACGATTCCCAGCCAAGTTCATCAATATAATCTTGCTGCCGGGATCCGGGAGCAAATGTTCCTTGCGGAATCGATACGGGCTTCCACCCGGGAGGTGACGGAACCAAAGGTGGCCACAGGAAACCTTCAGGAGATCTACGTCGGCGAAGAGGACTCCGAAGAACCAGCACGAGCAAACGGAGAACACCGAGAACGAGACCCCCACGAACCCGACGGAGCAGGTGTTGGTCCCCTACGAGAAGACGCTGAAGAACCAGCACAAGCAGACGGAGAACACCAAGACCGAGATCAAGAGGACCTTGGCGATCAACATGCCGAGGAACGGGCCCTACCGGGAGTCAGGGGACGTACTGTGAAACAACTTGTTCGGCGAGCGCATGAAGGTCTGGGACATCCCAATGTGGACCGCTTTGTTCGGATCCTCAAGAGTGCCAAGGCGAGCCAGGAGGTGATCACAGCGGCAAGGAACCTACGGTGCAGTACTTGCGAAAGGTTCGCTGAGACGCGACCCCAACGGCGAGCCGCACCACCGAAGGAGTATGGCTTGAATGAGATTGTCGGGCTCGACACTCTCTGGCTGCCGTGTGTGGACGGCCGCAAGAAACTGGCACTGAACATCCTGGACTGGTCCTCCCACTTCCAGCTGGTGGTCCCAATAAAGACTGTCAGCCCGGAGGCCGTGTGGGTGGCTTTTCAACAGTGGACCAAGATCTTTGGTCCGCCGCGCCAGCTCTACGTGGACCAGGGTCCTGAGTTCAAAGGGTCTTTCAAGACGCGAGCCAGTCGTGACGGGATCCATGTGGAGGTCAGCAGCCTGGAGTCACCATTTCAACGTGGCTCTACCGAACGACACGGCAAGACCTTCAAGAGCATCCTGGCCAAGGCCATGAACCAGTACACGTGTGCCGACTATGATGTTTGGCGGTCCTTGGTGGACACGACGGTCATGA